ACTTTTTTTACTTTAAGTAATTCCAGTCTGCCTTTGCAGTCTCTGGTGCAGCTTAAATGTGCTGTTATGTGTTCCAGATGCTGTTCTGTGATTACTGATTAGTTATGCTTTGGTTTTGTATTCATAACTACTGACTGCCTGAGCATCTATTTTGACTTAAAAGCCTGCATTCCTACCCTGTTTTTCATTCTATACCTTTACTTTACCAGGACAAAAATGGCCAATACATTAATATAAATTTTCCATATTAAGAATATCTATGGAGTCTCTCTGCTACCCAGATTCTATAAAATTACTTTTTTTTTTTTTTTCAAACAGGTAAACTGGGATGAAGAAAAGGAGTGTTTTGAAAGCTTGAGTAAAGAACTAGCCATGTTCTACTCCATCAGAAAGCAGTATATAATAGAGGAATCTAACCCAACAAACTCTCAGGTATGAGAATACTGTAACTAGTCCTGTGACCAGATGACTAACAACATACAGGAAACTTCTGCTCTTTCAGATACGGACTTCTAATCCCAGCTCTTTCAGTGAACTGAATCAATTAGCAGTGTGGCAAGATTCTGAAAGTGTGTGGCTTAAATTTTCTGAACTATTATAGGTATTGAGGGAACCTTTTAACTTTGAGCATTGCAGTGTACTTAATATTATTACAAGCCTTCTTGGCCTCTGAGTTAGGAATGTATTTTTTATGCTATATTTTTATAGAAGAATAAGGATGCATATAAATTAAAAGTACAACCTGATTGTGTCTAAATATCTGCCTAATTGATCAGCTAAGCTCACCCATTCTGCAAGTGACTTTACAGAGCTTAGAACTGACTGTATAGAATGAACTTTTCTAATACCAGCAGAATTTTACAATTGCTGTAGTCTTACATAGTAAAGTTTTTAAGGCATGCTCTCCTCTAGTTAAACAGAACCTCAGTTTGTTTGTCCTTGTTTTCCCATATTTCAGAATGAAGATTCTGACTCTGGTTCAATAACATGGAAGTGGACAGTGGAACATGTGCTTTACAAAGCTTTTAGGACTCATCTTTTACCTCCTAAACACTTTGCAGAAGATGGCAACATTTTGCAGCTTGCTAACCTGCCTGACCTGTATAAAGTTTTTGAAAGATGTTGAGCAAGTAGTTATTAAAGACTGTTTTTTTTAAGATGGACACCTTCCATTTTCATTCATGTTACCTTGAGTTTTACTTAGTTGAAGATAAAACTGGAATCTTGATGGAGGAAAGAAAGAGGGGATTTAGTACCCTACTAAACTGCTACCACCACAGTAAATTGTATATTTTCTTTCTGTTGATCAAAGTATAAAAAAAATCATTTTTGCTGTGTCTAAACCCAACGAAAATCCCTAAAATAAAATCTCCACTTAGACTCTGAGTTTCCCTATTAACCAATCTGCTAACAGAATACACTGCTACTGAAGAAAATATACTGGGTTTGTGATTGTGAAGTGATTGTGGAAGAAGATAGAGCTTAATTTAGTTGAAATGTGAATGCTTTAATTTCAGTTGTCTATGGAAATCTAGCTAGGTTACCTGCATTCTCTTGTTTTAAGCATGACAACTGTCTGACAGTACCTGCAATGTGAGTGTACATGCAAAGCACTTAAAATCATGTTACTGCAAGAGTTAGTCTTGCAGTATTTCAGAGCCCTTGCTGAAATAAGGCCAATCCTGTCCTTTTTAATCAAGGAGTCAGAGAACAAAAACAGGAATGTTGTGGCAGATAGTAAATGAGCATGCAGACAATAATATTCATTGTCTTGAATTTAATGAGTAGGGCTTGGGAGATCTACTTTCAAGGTTGTGTCCCCACAGGGAAAGTGTTTTTCTAAGTCCAAGAGACATCTAACATCCAAACCAAAAGGGAAAGCAAGCTTCATTTTTGCACTGTAAAGGTTTCTGTTTCATTTGAAAGCAGCTGGTACAAGCAGAAGCATTAATCTTCTTGGACTGCAGAGGTCCCAAACCCTGCCTCTGAGAAATACTCATGAAGGGCAGCAGTTTGAGTCTAGTCTTGTGATTTCAGCATACTGCTGTATCACTCTTCACATGTAATGCTTCATAAGTAAGTAAATTTGATATTTAACATTAAAAGCTCCCTCTCTGGAACATTTAAAAGAACCTGGACTCTGATATGTATATGTGAGAAATGTCTCTAGATCACCACAGGCGTGCTTATGTTGTATGTTAAGTGTGGCAGCAGTCTGCTCTTATGCCATGTACCAAATGCCAGCTCTCATCACAATGCTGTGTGGGTTCCTGAACCCCCACAAAACTAACCCCCCTCAAAACCATAACTGTATGCTGAGTTATGCTCATTTTCTTCTCATTTTTTGGTGTTTTTCTCCTTTTGGTATTTATATAGAAACCATGATTACATAGTGCAAAGTTTCTGTCACAATATGAAAAATTCTCATAATAAAGCTCAAATAGGTTTTTTTTTTCTTCTAATCTGTATATAATTTCAGAGCATTAAGCAATCTGATACAGTTTAACTGATTTCCTTTGCATAAAAAAATCCAGGAAGTCTTTTTTGCAAAGTATACTTTGAAGTCAAGATTGCAATAAATCATCCATTAAAACATTCCTGTCACAGATACATAACAAGCAGGATTCCAACTTCCTTGGCAAACTATCCATGTATGAAAACATGGCATCTCAGTTAACTCACTGTGCAGAGCATCCAAGCCATGTACCACAGGAAGAAACATGCTTGTTTAGGAGAGGCTTGCATGGTACCAAAATACCCACCACCCCAAGGATTTCCTGTCACCAATGCATAAGGCTTGTTCAGCTTTGCAGTTTTTGTATTAATTCCCATTTTTCTAAGTACTGAACTGCAGGAGGAAGCAGTCACTGAGAATAGGTTGAATTTCTTAGATATGTAGAGGAATTTCATATTGCAGATTGAAGATGTTCAAATAAAGTCATGAGTCATGCACCTACATGAAGTTCATAGGTTTAATGGAACTTTGACCTCCTATCTCAGATGTGTTTTTCTCACTGAATTTAATCGCAGAATCTTTAGGGTTGGATTTGGCATCTGGAGATGATCTGGTCCAACACCCCTGCCAAGGCAGGGTCACCTAAAGCAGGTTACTCAGGAGCACATCCAGGTGGGGTTGGAATGTTTCCAGAGAGGGAGACTCCATGAACTCCCTGGGCAGCCTGATCCAGTGCTCTGCCACCCTCAATGGAAAGAAGTTCTTCCTCCTGTTGAGGTGGAACTTCTGGTGTTTTAGTTTAGTCATTGCTCCTTGTCTTGTCGCTGGGCACAACCAAAAAGAGTCTGGCACCATCCTCTTGGCACCTGCCTTAGAGATATTTATCTGCTTTAATGAGATCCCCTCTCAGTCTTCTCTTCCCTAGACTAAACAGGCCCAGGGCCTGCAGTCACTCCTCATAAGAGATGCTCCACATCCTTGGTTAGGAATGTTCCAACACTGATAATGACAGCTTGAATTTTTCTTTCTTCTGATAGTTTATTCTTACCTGCATCCTCTGAAACAGATCTTGCCTAGTCTGAAACGATGTAAGGGATAACCTTGGTCCTGGTTTATATTTTCATTCAGCAATTAGAGAAGAGAACTTTAGGAAGAGTATACTGAAGCCAATGCAAGAAAGAAGTGATGTGCCATTATCACTAACATAGCCTCCCTACAGGCAAACAGTACTGTAACACATTTTGCACAAAATCTATGCAAACCAGAGTCCTTATTGCCCTGAATATACAGGAGTGGTAAATGCAGATTTTTCCAATGACAAAGCGATGAAATATCATAATGCATTTCTTGTGTTTTAACATTTTTATTTTAGAAAGTGAACATATCCATTAAAAAAAAATGCATGGAGTTAAAAAAAGTAAACATAAACTAATGGCAAATTGCAATAACATAAAATAATTTTATCTAGTGAGACCCAACAATTATTAAATATACTTCCACCACAGAGAAGTTTTACTTCATTATATTACCAGTCTCTTGATTAGGTACACAAGACAACACTTTCCAGTAATTACCTAGTCATTAGAAGATCAACTTCAGGAATCACTGAATAATAAAATACATTGTGGACAAATACTTTCATACCACCTGGGAGGCAACCTAATATACATATGTCAACAAGGTACATCTTCATGAGGTATTACAGTACATGGGAACCATTCCCTTTACTTTCTAACAAGTATATACTGCTGTCAGCAGCTCTACCAGCAAGTCAGCCACAGACTCTGTTGCCAGTTTCCACACTGCAACTTTCTGCAGATTTTCTTTCTGCAACAGATCACATAAATTAGGATGAATGAAAATGGGAGTAAAGAAAACAGATACTATAAACAGGGAGGCTGAAAAGAAAAGGTGTTCACTCTTCCAGGTGAGCACTAGAAGGCTTCAAATCAGAAATTTCAGCTTCTCAAGAACATTTAATACCTCCCCTAACTTGAGCTTTGCTGTGAGTAGTGAAGTGAAAGCATGGGGCTTTCACTTTAATTCCAGAAGTAAATTAAGTAATTTCCAAAATAGGGAAATAATCTCATATTTAAACAAAGTACACTACAAAAATCTTAAAATGAGGCTGCTCCAGTGTAACCCGTTTGTAGTATTGAACAGACTGAGAATATCTAAGCAGGCTTGCCCATGAAATCTTGAGGCATACTTGTCCTAGATTTGAACCAAAGAAAACCTCTTCCTAGGATTATGTGCTTTCATCTCCAAAGAAGTATATCTCTCTCCTGCCAAGAAAAGCAGCTTTTACACATTTGGTCCACCAATGTCCTTTCCAGGACAACCAGAAAATAAATGTAGAGGAGCCCAACTCCAGACTCTCAAGAGCTTGGCAGGATTCCTTCTTGAACGCTGTTATGAGAGACAGAGTGAGTTCAAAAATTATGAACTCTTAAGAGTTAACACACCATTTAATTTGTTTGGAAAGGAACCACAAAGAAAAAACCCTATCTTTAGCAATATTCAGGTTTTACACAAAGGAACTTACCTGCTTTTTCTTATTTGCTATACAATTGGCTTTTCACTGTCTTGCTTTTCTTCAGAGTCCTCATCAGAACCTGAAAAGGAAGACAAGAACGCTGTAGATTAGTTGAGGAGAGTTAAAAGATACAAAAGTGTTTAGTTTTTTTGGAAAAATTAATCTGAATGCCTTTTATTTCTTGGAATAGCATATCTGCCACATTTTGAAGCTCAAATTATACAGAAACTGAATAAATTTACTCTTTCCAGCCTGATTTTCCACTTGCTACCTCCAGAATTGACTTGGTTAACTCAATTTGTCCAGAATTGACTTGGTTACTTGGTTACCAAAATTCCAACAGAGCTCATTTTAAACATCACCTCCTAAAAGCAAAGATTTTAGCAATGTTGCCATGTCAGCAGAAAGGTTTATTCCCTGCTGTATGATCACAGGGGATAGTTTATCTCTAAATATTTGTCAGATCAATATGTATGCCAAAATGACCAAAAATTGCTCTCTTAGAACAATTTACACTTTGTCTTCTCAGAAAGAAATGCAGATTTTTGAAGAAAAAATTTAATTTAATAATTATTAGATATTTTTACATTATCCAATATCTACATTTCACTTGGTTCACTCGGTGACTACCAGTGTGTCTTAGCCCAAATATATTAATCTGACTGCTTCTTTTGCGTCTCATACCCATAAAGGGTGCTTAAAATATACTTGGCAGTCAGGGCAAACCTGGAGAAAGCTGAAACTAATGGCACACCTACAGTCAACACGTGCATGCTGACACACAACACCTCACTGCACAAACAACACTGACCCAGCCACAATGTCTAGAAAAACATGGTAGCTCCACTTACACTTCCTCTCACAGTCTGTACTCTGTTGCTAAAAAAACCTCACAAAACCCAGGCTGAACAGCTGAGCCCAGTACAATACTTCCATTATTCCTCAAAGCAGACCCATAGTTTTAGCTAGAATTCATTGTCACTCTGAATCATTGGTTATACTCGACACTAATGCTCTGTGACCCCTAGATGGAGCTCGAAGTCATTCACTGAGCTGAGATGCTATATTAAAAGGTGAAGTATCACCAACACGTGTAACTCTATAATGCAAGATAGACAAACTTACCTGTAGTAACTAGAAAGTATTTTTTTAATTATATGGCAATATACAGCATAGCTTTGCAAAGGAGGTTTATACTTTAAGGGAAAAACACTGATATAGGATTTTGGGGTTCCCAGTGCATTCTCAGGTGACTCAAATTGATTCAATCCATTAAGAAATTACTTATTTCCTTGAAATGCTGGAGACACATTTTTGAATCTTGCAGTATTTACATTTATTTTTGATTTAATCAGCTCATATCTCAACTAGACAAAGCACATGATATGCAGAGTTAAGATGCACTTAACATTACCCACTGATTTGATTTACCCAGATAGGTGAGCCTTTTTATAGATAGAAGGCTTTTTCTTTTGGTTATGAGGAAAGAAAAAAAGCTCTGATTGAAATTTCAGTTTGACTTATAGAAGTTTCAGATTCAGTGTCTATCCTAAGAAAGTATAAAGCTCCATGTTTAGGTTAGATTCAATAGTGCTATTGCTGGGAAGTGAGAGATCACAGAACATTTCAAGCTGGAAGGGACCCATAAGGATCATTGATAGCAGAAGCAAACCATAACTGTCTCCTTTCAGTTGTGGTGCCACTTTATTTCAGGTTTACCTTGATTTTAGTCAGAATATATACTAATCATGTGTATTGTAACTCATCTGATAGGTAGTAATGAAACTGAATTACTGAACAAAAAAGAATCTTGCATTTTAGGATGATAAACACAATTTTCATTTAAAAACAAAAACGTATTTTTTCCCTTCCCCTCTTGAAGGGTGTGAAATATGCAGGAGTGTAAAGTGAATATGAAAATCTTTTTCTAAGCGAACTACCTGCTACAGACTCAGGAGGAGAATAGAACTGCCCATCAGAGAGGACTCCTGGGTGAAGAAGAGCTGCTCGTTCTGAAGCATCCTGTGCTATCAAAAATCCTAAAAAACAAACAAACAAACAAACAAAACCAAAAATAATTCCTCGATGCTGGCACATAAAATCTTAAAGATCAAATACTGATGAAGAATCTTGAAGACTGATGTATTATATTGGCATTCCTAACCAGTTATTTCTTTAAATAAATATATTTTAAAAATGCATCAATAATCAATTTATATCTTCTATTTAAATGCTGGCAACTAAGGTGACATACTCCAGCAAAACAGAGATATTGCACACACGAATTAAGGAATCTTTCCTTCTACCATGTGCACTTACATGGTTAGGTTGCCATATTCATCAATATTCACTGCCTAACTAAGACTTCTGAAATATATTTTTAATGATCAGTGAGATGCCATGCACAACCAAATGAATTATTTTCTCTCTTTGCTACTATGACCCTTCACTAATGGCCTGCTTTTTTTACTTTCACTTGTCTGTCTCAACATACTCACTTTCTGCAACCTTCATGAACTATTTGCATGTGTATGTATGGAATATTTTGTCTATGAATATTCAATATGAGAAAATGCAAGTCTCTGAACTGGTTATATTTCTTGTCTATTGTGATAACTCTGTGATGCAGCTGTATTTTCTCATCTGCTCATAAGATAAAAAACGTTACTCCAGGTTTCTTTTTCTCCAAGCAAACTCTACTGTTCTCATTTAACCAACTTCTTGCTCAGACCAGTTAAAAAGAAGAGGGAAGGGATCAAAGTAGAAAGACTGAATTTAGAGCACAAAGAGTGGAGGCATCCATGCCCATGTAAAGTTTTTTGATTTACTTAACAGATAAACATGCCTTTCCAAGAGTTTCAGACTGTATTTCAGGTAATGATGCATAAATAACAGGTTGGCTGTATAATTACTCTCCTGCTGTTGAAACTCACAAACATCTGTAAGTTTTCTTTCCCTCACCACTCAAGCAGTATTCTCTTTCAACCGAAACAGTGGATTTCTTCCATTTAGCTGAATATATTGAGTGTCAGATGACCTGGTGCCTCATCTCAAAGGTTGAAATTCATACTTGTTCTGGTCTCATTCTGCCTAGGCATGAAACAGACTGTCCACAACACTTCTTTGCTTTTCCCTTTCCACCTCAAAAGAAGAGTTAGTGACATTTAATTAGTTATTGTGCCTACTCTTCCTAAAAGAGAAGCCAGATACTTTATAGACCCGAAAAATAAAGTTTTACAGGCCCAAATCAGTTAAATTTTCATATCTCAAGCATACAAAGTTAAACGCATTCCCAAGTGCTTGACAAATTGATCTGGCCCTTCTAACTTTTAACTTTGCCCCCCTAAGTTAATTAAAACCTGACTTTTTTGAAGGCATATGTTCCTTTACCAAAGAGGAAAAAATCATGCCATTTGATATAATTTCAGAAGCTTAAAGAAGCATTCTTATGCCAGTTAAAACAGGATCAAATGTTGCCAACTGCAGTGATTGATGGGAAATATCGCAAGCTTACTATTTTCTTCTTCAGCTTCTTGTGGTAACACTTTAAAGTCCAGGAACCAAGTTTCAATCCAGGCAAGTATGAAGGATATGATGGGCAGCACATAGCCAAAAGCACCCTGTGAGAACAGCTAGAAAAAAAGAAAACATTACAAAAATTACTCTGAAGAATCTTGCTTTTAAGAAAAAAAAAAAGGTAAAACAAATATTTGATTACAATATATACCTGTGAAATAATTACTTTTGCTAATAAAAAGGCACTGGTCACTGCTGTTGTAAACTGAAAAAGACAGACAGAAAAACTAATAAATGGATTTAGTTTTTTATTTCTGCCATTATCTATTAGTTGCAACTTTAAATATTTACTGTCAACAGCAAGATCACATAGATTAATAAAATGTAACAAGCATGATACAATTAACTTAAAGTGCTATTAAAATAACCTTATAAAAGATAACTTTTATTACAAACACCTCCATTGATTTCCACATAGCAGATAATGTTTGTGTAGAAACTAAACTGCCTGAGTTATGTAAATTGTGATCTTACTGTATAATGAAGATAGTGTACTTTATTCATCAAGTCCCTTAAAAAAAACCCAACTATTTATGTATTTTGGGAAAAAAGCAAACAGCACTTGTTCTAAATGCTTTTCACTACCATCCAAATAAAAATATCCATTTTAAACAACAAAACATCCTTGTGGGAGTAAATTGGAATAAATATTTTAATTCATGAAGCGGTATTTTGAAAAATGTATTTTTTTTTGAAGACTTGATACTCCCTGATATATTTTAAAGAATTACCATGCTGGATAAAATATCTAAAAATCCCCAAAATCTGAAAAAGCAATGAACAAGTACTGTTCATATAAGCAAGGCCTCTATATCTTCTAGTGCATTTGGGTCCAGCAATTCTTAGAAAAACTGCAGAACCAACTTCTGTCAATCACAGGTAGGATGTTAAGATTCAAGGCTTTGGCAAAACCCTCAGTGAAGCTTTATGTATCTAAATACTTGCTACCATGATGGGCTCACTCTCACCACCTCACAAACAAAGGCATCAAGGTGGAGGATTAAGAAATACTCTAGAGCTACACAACTAAGAGCAAGGACTTTTAAGAGGCATGCATTTAAATATAAGCACAATCAGAGCAGTGGCTACCATTATTTATGTGTTTGTGCCATGCTAGTAACACATTCTACAAAAATCCTGAGATGTAGTCTCAAAGTATTAAGCAAACTGCATGCTACTCACTTGAAGAAAGTTACACATGAACATGTTCTACATGCACCTACCACAGTGTAAAGAAAAAAAAAAAAGTCTGATTTACAAAGCACTAAGCCAGCAATACACCTATTGTATTACAACCTATAGTATTGATGAAGCATACATTTTTCACCAAATTTTGCATTCTTTGTCATCCACACTGTACAGCTGCATTAAAGATATTGGCTCCAAAACCTGCTGTGGTTGCCTACAGTTCTTGAGAGCTTCCTTTTTAAGAAGGGATGCATATTCAGCCTTTCTTAATGGAGCATGAAGCAATGCAGGTGCTAGTGTTCAATGGGTGGCACCTAAGACTTTTTAAAGTAAGAATGTGGGACTTAATGGACACCTGGATCTCTGGCACAATAATGTTAATTCTTGTTTTTGAAGAAGGTTCACTATTACAAATGCAAATACATTTCCAACATTAATTAACAAGTCTCAGAGGTAACAAGCAGTTATGACTAGCCATACATACTGGAAAAATAAATCTTCAATTTGTATTAACATGATACCTAATAAGAACCACACCCACTCTGCTATTAAAATCTTGCCTTTAGGCTGAAAATCTTCCAGAAAACAAGTTTTTAATTTGTTACTGTACAACAAGTTTTTATATATACACCATCAAGATGATTCTTAACATACAAGTGTTAAGAGGCATCTAAACTTTTGTCTGCTTGATCCATTCTAGGAAAAACTCCATTATGCTTGGCTACTACTCACAGCTATTGCCCACCAATGGCGCAGTCTGCACATTGCATATGCAAGTATTAACACCTTAAACCGAAAGACTGCCAGTAGCTATAGAGAGAGGAAAAAATATTGGTTGGTTAATTCAGAACACAGAAGAACCACAATATTCTCAGCTCACTGAAAAAAATAACTACTTGCAAAAAAACAGGACAGTCTAAGTTCTGTTACCAAGAAACAAATTTGAATGTGTCCTTATAAAACAGAAATAGAATGTAATTCCTCATTTGTAAAGCAAATGGCAACATCCACACGTCTCCACAGGCTCAAATATGCAAGCATGTGCCACTCCACAAATAAATTAGAAACATAAGAAAGCTATACAAAGTGTGCTCATGATCATTTTACCTGACTGGAATCTAAATAGTTAAATCTGGATGCAGTTAATCCAGCAAATACCTTGCACATCACTGTGCATCTTATTGATCTTAGCGGTGTGCTACTATACTTCTAGTATTTTGTGAAATATTAACATTGCAACAATCAATTATTCTTTATGTAGCTGCCTACAATAGCAGATCTGGCAGTAGAGAAAGGAAAGTTATGGTATTTGTAGGCCAAAAAATTAAATCAATAGCAGACAGACAAGATCTCTGAATCAGGCTTTAATTTCCCTGTTTATTTTTTGATAGTAGATTGTCTCAAACTTGTTTTAAATGATGTGTTCAGAACTGAAAAAGTATGAAACAAATGCTTAAAAATGAAGATAAATCAAAGACAGCCATGGCCAGAAGTACGATAAACCCATTTAATCTTATGCAAACGTATTGTATAAACAGAGGAAATCCTATAAAAACCCACAGATAATTCTGCAAAATTTAAAGTTCTAGTCCCTTCCCAGGGAATATAATATCATTAAAGTCCATTATTTTGCATTACATGTTCTTAAGCCTTGGTTCACCTACAGGGTAAAGTAATTTCCAGAGCATAAACATTTACAGATAACACTTTTTGCCTTCTGCAATATGGTATATCATGGAGAACCTATCAGCAAAACAATGAGAAAGGGAGAAGGAGCATAGTTTGATGGCTTATAAAATTTTTGAATCTAGTACGTAAGTCCATTTGACACAGCAAATGTCCGATGCAGAAGGATGGGTTTTTATACCAGTTTCAAAGATGGATTCTGGATATGGTCATCAGCATAAGATGGCTGATACCAAACCATCTCTGCAAGGCAAACAAGATCTGGTAGGTCAAAAATCTTGCCCTTTAGAAGAACTGTAAAGAAACAGCTTTTACTTGGGCTGTGCAGTGCAAAATGCATTGCAACTACGGAGCTACAGCTTTGCTTAAAGAAAAACTTTCCTAATGCAATAGAGTTCCTCTTATGTGCTTAAGGTACTAATACATAGTAAAGGAGAATCATACTTCATGTCAGCTCTTTTTACTTTTTGAGTTAAAACACAGAACTCTGAAAAACCTGCCCTGTGCAGGCCACCCTGGGAACAAGTGTCTCCTCACTGCAGCCACCTTCTGCCCAAGGAAGGACAAAAACTTCAGTTTAATCAAAATTATTTTAGAGCTAGAGATGACCTTATGTCACATCAAAGTCATATTCTTCACTGGGTTTTCCATCTGCTTTTCCATGCACACCAAAGTTAAAGATGCAAATTGATTAGCCCTAAGTATTTCTATCCACAGGCTCCATGAGCTTGCTGCCAGAGCAGGTCTGGGCAACCCCTAGATGGGTGAAACTTTCCCATTCTGGTCTAAATAATCAAAAGATCAACCCTTTCACAAGACTGAAGCTAGGAACATCTGTGAAAGGAGGAATGAGAAAACTATACTTTTGCTGCTCCTTTTTCTTTTTTTGAGAACACTTACAAATATATCAAAATATGAAGAAGAGTAGTCATAATGTAGAACTTCTTTCTCTAAGGTAGTCTCAATGCCTCCTTTCACCTACAAAGAAACAACAACACATACAGCTTCAGAAAACAAAATACGCACAAATACGAAGAGTAAAACTAATAATTCCCTGCTGCTATACAAAAAGATCATTAAACTAAAAACAGAAGAGAAGTCTGTCAAGAATGATAATGTCAAAACTACTGTTGTTTTTCAAGTTTACATAGACTTTTCTGAGTGAAAACATTTAGGATTATCATCTGATCTAGGCAAGCTACATTTCAGGCTGTCCCAAAACAAAAGCAAACAAGTTATTGAGGGAGGAATAAATGATTAAATGTTAAGCTCTGTTACACAAACTCACAAAACAGTTTACCTCTTATGAGGAGGATCAAACCAGCTGATCAAAAAGCCAACCATAACCCAGCTCTAGTTAGTCATGTGTTAGCAAATAGGAAACAGAACAGAAACTGAATTCATACTTCAGATCTCTTCCTTATCAGCCCTCACATGATTTGTTAAGAAAGCTGAGCCAAAAAGATCCACAGTAAAAAATACAAAAGCTGCAACTATTAATCTCACACAAATAACCAATATTCAAGTTTAATTCTTCCATTTGCTGATGAGATTCAAAATTACATCTTCCTTAGCCACCGTGTTTCTTTCCAGTGGAAGGATTCTACTGTTCAAACTGACTTCTAAGAAAATAATTTAAGGTGTATTGGCTCAGAGAATGAGAGGAGTATCTACCTTATCAGAAAATGAAAAACCTCAGTGTCCATCTCCTATTGTCTTTAATATTAAATTATTAAAGCCATAATTAGGAACTGCTTGAAATAGTTATGTAAAACAACACCAACAGAAGGTTTTAATATTGAGTTTGACTACTGTCATCTTTTTAAGGGAAGGAGCTACCAAAGAACACCAACAACATATGCTCACTATCTCAAAGCAATACAATTCTACACACTTCCATACTTTTTCAACTATACTGCTGGACAGTGTTTTCCTTAGACTAGTAACTCCAACTCAGAATTTCTTCTATTTCTTCTCCTCTCCCTCCCCTCTATGGCTACCTAACAAACCACTTTCTAAATACAGTTTTCCCTTGGTTGCTCTGCTGCATCAAGTATGATTATCTGTTTCCAGCATAAATAAGGAAGATCAACTTCTCCCACTGCAAGCTGTTCATCACTGTGTGGCTGTGTGAGCACCATGTTAACATAAGGACAAACAGAGAACTATGGAAGCCTTGATTTTTCCTCAAAATGCCATGGAAGTATTCCCTGAAGCATTTAACGATAAATTACACTACACCTAAGGAAACTGGATAATGGCAACAAAGTGAAAACAATGTTTACAGGAACTCTCAGAGCAATTCTGACCCTTTATTTATGCACCAATTACAGTCCTAACACGATACTACTTGACTTCCCAGAAAACAAAGCAATTAAAAGAAAAACAGAACAAAAAACCTAAGCACATGTCAGATCCCAAATATCAAATTTTAGCTTCTAATATCATTGGCTTTTAATGACAAAATCCTTGTTTTTATTGTTGCTGACATGTAACAGTACAGGACACCAGTTCATAATATGTTGTCCTGAAAATAGAGCTCTTTACAAGTGCTGTGATCTTGAGGTCCCTTAATGCTGTAGCATTCAAAATTAAACAACATGGTATCATGAATTGGTAGCATTTTCTATTCAGTCTTCAATATTCTAAGAGCACTCAAGTGAAAATCTGTACTCTGAAACTTCAACAAGAGAGATAAACCCACTCTACTCCTCTTGGTAGTGCAAGCTGTTGAGAAACTGGCCTAAAAAAGAACTGCATCAGAACACTATGCTACAACCATATTTCCACCTAGAGAGAAAACAGAAAGTCTAGTCCCAAAATTACATCATTCCGGCAAGCAAAATCTGCTTTCTCAAATTAAATCAGAAAGAGTATTTTTCATTGTATCGATTAAATGTTACATATTAAAATATTAAACAGACAGCTCCTGAAGTGTCATAATGTAAATTAATAACCAAGGTTATTCATATAGTAAAGAAATGCTGATAAAAAATATTTACTCAAGAACTTCCTTTCTCAAAAAGGAATTCCTCCTTAGTATGTCCTTTCTTAAATGCAAACTAGATTATAGCTTAAAACCCAGCTCAAGAACTAGGATGCTACTTATGAAATAACAAATGAGCTATCCTGTTGCATTCTTTTAGGAAAAAAAATTTATGAGAAGCAAATTTTAGGAGAACAGTCTCATTTTCCAGATTACAAACACTGGAGTTAAAAGGTGGCAACTGTGGGAGTTTGTGTTGCTTAAATGTACCCTGCCATCCATAATGTATAACACACCAAGTTTACATCAAAGAAAATACATCAGAACAAAAGAAAGTTTTGGCCATAAAAAGGGACTAACAATTCAGTGAAATATCACTGACTTAAAGTTACTCAGAAGGCAGAGCCTTGAATCCTGTTAAAATTCACACTTCTTACTAAATTCAAAGACATACACTAACATTTTTGTTTATTTGATACAGCCTGAAGACTGTACTGGATTTCAAATGTTTTTTTCAGCATGGTTCACAGACTACAGGAATATCTAAAGGTTTCATAATAAGATAAACATGTATGCTAATGAATAAAAAAGTAAATGCAGTTGAGTAGGTACTGTATTCATGGAAGCTTAAAGTAATAAGCTGCTAAAACTTAAAGAGATACAAATAACATAATTTTGGATAGAAAGGAGCAACTCTAACCATCTCTGAAGTGAATAAGTACTTAATATAGCATCTAAGGGTAGGTACTGAAATGACAACTTACATTTAATTCTATTATCCACAGTAAGGTTATGAATAAGAGATCAAATGTAACAAACAAACAGAAAGTCCTTCTGACATCTGATATGCCTTTCTTCTCCCTGCCTTCATATGACTCAATCCTTGCCATCAGCTGCGTTGGGTTGATGGAGTGGACATCCCGCAAGGAAGGACAAGATTCCACACTGCTACTGTGAGCATTTTCTGTATCAGCTGGGACCCGATTCATCCTGCGTTTGCTTAGAGTGGTCTTCTCCCAGTTTCACCATCACTAGAAGGCTGATCCATACAGGAAGAATTTCTAAACAAACAAATAAAAAATTAGTCACCAAACCTCCATAATTCCAAGAGATATTTTCACCTTACAATGTCAGTTCTCTTTTTGCTAAACTGATGACTAAGAGAATTAGGCAAGTAAGCCCTCAAAATTGTTTCTAACACACTCAAGTTCCTCTTCATCTCAGAGGATTTATGAAGCAAGAGAATTAATGTTCAATTAGGCCATTTGAAATAAAAGAGCACTGCCTAGATTTAGAAGGATTGTTTCTCCATGCTGTTAGAGTGAGGTCATTGAATAGAATGAATAAAAAGAATGATGTTATGCATCTCTTAAGATTTCAACAGTGATTTAAATGCTCTCAATAAATAGGAAGACAACATAAAGGACCTTCCACATACACTTCCTGAAAAATGGTAGTGTTAGCTAATAGCACATCCAGAGCTGACAGTAACAAAAGATTAAAAGTCCATTAAAATCCCTGAACAGTGTAGTAATCATTCTATAAAGCATATACACTGATATTTGCTCTGTAGATTCAGCTGCTATAGCAACTTACATTTCCAGACAGTTTCTCCATGAAAAAAGTTTGTGTAACTAGTGGTTAAAGGTAATGCAATTACCCTAAGTCTCTTCTGACTACAAGGCTTTTAAAAGATTTTTCAGGCTGAATTTCCTATAAAACTGGAGCAGTTTGATGGATGATTCACCCAAATCCTCCATAAGAATATTTTTCCAATTAAAGCTTCTAGAAAGGGTGGACTCAGAAGGTCACAAAAGTTTAATGGAAACACATAGAAAATTTAATTTTATTCAAAATGCTCAGATGATTAAGCTATATATCTTGCAGTACAAACCACATCAGACAAGTTTTTGTAACACCAAGGGGAACAGCTTCTTGAAATTCAAGAACAGAAGTTTGCCTCCTCCTGGGTGGATTGTGTTTCAGTAAATGGCTAGAGATAGAGAAATTCTTCCCACTCCTGTCTTTCAACAGCATTTCAACTCCAAGGATGCAAGAACACCATCAGTCAAAGCCCAACAGGCTTTGTGTTACAGTGGCCCTGTAACATACCACTAAGCAAACACAAGGGAGGATACAAGGACACAGGGGAAAAGTAAAGGTGGTGCTGGGAGCTGCCAGAGCACACACATCCCAGCTGAGGAAGACACAGGCCAGTCAGGGATGATCAATGCCTAAGGTCAAGTCACACAGAACAGCCTTTAGGGAACTCAAAGCGCCAGGCAAGGGTGGACAAGCACAATGCACTCCTAAATCTTCTTTGTTTCCACAGCAGCTGCCTAAAACATGGCTGGCAAAGGGCTGTAGAGGAGGAAGACATACGTGGTGTGTGTTTGGTCAGGTGCCTTGAGCACCACAGTGAACTTTGGGCCACCTGTGAGCACAATCGCTGCACTCCAGTGCTGTAAACAGCACTTGCTTTGTACTGACAAACCCTCACACTAAAGTGCCCTGCTACATAACAGCAGCCCATATTAAAACATTTGGGGTGAGACATAAACCTCAAGGCCATCAGCGGCCATACTTAAAAATAAAAAAAAAAAGACAAGTAACACCTGAACCTCCAAAGAAATTTCCATCTACATTGGCAAAAATATTTATTTTGATGTGGCTCTCAGTGCAAATTATATAGAAAGCTGTTACTTCCAGTCTGGATTACTACTAAATAGAGCACAGTATGGGAATGCAATTAGTACAGCCAGAGTGAACTGTTTCAGAATGTGCTAGTTCAGCATCCATTTGTGGGGCCCTCTGCAAAGAGAAAAGCATGGTCATAAATGCACTGGCTACCAGTTCGTGTTCAAGCATGACTCAAAACATCAGATACAGCTTATAAATTCCATGTACTCTGAAATCCTTGCTACTGACAGACTGTTTTTTGCCTCAAAGACCTCTAGACGGGATACATAGAGCAAAGGAATTTGTCCCTAGTCTTGTTCTTCCTGCTGACTGTCAGATCCATGTTTGGCACATGGCAGGGCCTGTCTTGTCAAACTAAACTAGCATCAAAATGTTGTGATTCTTTAACTGAACAGACATAGTTGCTTTCTGCAACAGCTCTGAAAACTGAATTAATCACTAAGTGTGTGCTAGAGGATTGTTTCCCAAAGTTTCTTTCATTAATTAAAATAAAAAGTTCCTTTATACCTGAACTACATAATCAGTCATTTCATCACACCAACATTCTCAGATGGTTTCAGGTGGGTGCACAAAAAAAAAATCTTAAATCCTTTTTGGCAGCTGTCTTATAGGCATGTGGGGACTATTAAAATGCAACATTTCCCTTTTAGTGTTGTACAGTGACTTGGCCAGACACTTTCATACCCATCTCAGCATTACCAGCAACAATATTTCTCCTCCCTTGCACTTCCAAAGCACCAATCATGCCCTGGCTCTCCTGCCTATGGTAAGTTTGCAGTGGGAGCGAGCTCTGCTCTCCCCATGGCTCCATTTCTCCAGGGGTTCTTGTTTGCAAAACAGCCTGTGCTTGGAAAGGTTCCAGGCTTGCAGCCATGAGGAGCTGCCACTTTTCAGCACTCCATGTGGGCAATACAAGCACCAGGCAGGCACAGGAGTGCTTTTCATGCAGCCCTGGCCATGTGGAGGAACAAGCTTAGGAAGGCAAAAAAGGTGTGTCATTAAGATGTGTCATACTTTTGAAAATACCACACAATTCCTTTGCATGTGACTGTTACTATCCTTATTCTTGCTCTTCAGGAAGCAGGAACTTCTTGGCCTCAATTCATGCTGCCACATTATTTGTGTTTTTGCATCCAAAGTGACACATGATGTTGGTTACTTTCTTTATAAAAACCAAAATAATTTAGAATCAGAGAAAAAAAAAAAATTATAAACCAGGTGTGAGAATGTTTGGGGTTTGGGTGTTTGAAAGCCAAATGCTAATTCAGCCAGAAAAAAAATCAGTCTCAAATAAAAAGAGAAAGTCATTCTTACAACTTTTGAGTTTTTGTTTTTTTTCCTAGAAAGAGCCTTCTTTGTGCACCAGTCAGTTATCAACTTTTCTATTTCTGGTAAAGGTTAATACATTTTAGATAATTTTCAGGGTGTTTTTACAATATCAGTAACATATTTTCAAGACTGTTGTATCATCTGTGGCTTGACACAGTGTCTGCCTCTGATTTGAAGGAGGCTGGGTTCACCTGGCACAACTTCTTTTGGCTCCAGGCAGTTACATTGTTTGGGTTATTGTATATGGCAGGGTTCAGGAAGGATGTGTGGTCAAAACAAACATGTCCTATGAAGAAGTGATGTTTAGAGATCAGCACGTTCATTTTCTGTAGAGCCTGGGTGCAGGACACCCATCAGGAAGATAAACAGTCCATAATTCAGAATATTCCAAGAAACTCTATGGGCAAACTTGCCTGGAGAGGTGGAGCTCATAGCAAATGTGTGGGACACAAATTGTGCCATTAATTCCTTGCCACAAGAGACACACTTGTCTCTTGACACAGAAATCTGCTTTCCTCATGCAGTCCCACTAGCAAATGGTTCTCCACAAGATGCAGCATTTGCAAATGTTCTGTAGCTCTCTGACTTTCTTTTGCCAGACTTCAAGTGATAGTTTTTCAAGCTAAACTGAGGATTGAATTAGCCTGTGTCACCCTGAAAACTCAGCTTCTGAGCTTGCTGACATGGTTTTCTAAAGACTTTCCCAAGACAGTAACTGTAAACATATATATGTGTACATTCTTTCTGTTACACGTCTTGTGATGGATATCTCTCATGGCCAGTGCAGTGAGAAAGTGTTATCCTGACCATCCAACCCCTGGCCATGGTCAGAAGCCTATAAATCCTGGGAGGAAAAATAAACTCTTCTTTTCACCACACCTTGACCCGTGTCCGTGTCATCTATTCATCTTCAGCGGCAACAAGCCTGCTCTTGGCTACACCTGCACATTGTGATAATGCTTGTGAACATCTGTTCTGAAAGAGTCAGAAAAATAAAATCCTGTTTCCACTACATCTCTTGTGTTACTTGTTTTTGAAAGTGTTTTCAAAGCTAAAAAAATCCCTGGCATTTCAGCAAATAACAGTCTTATTGTTATTTGACTCATCATGACTGCAGAACAGAATAGAGTATTCAGCTGAAAAGGACAGAAAACAGTCACCTTATCCAACTGCCTCACCACTTCAGGGCTGACCAAAAGTTTAAGTATGGCATTAGGGCCAATGCCCAAATGCCTCTTAAATGCTGATAGGCTTGGAGCATCAAACCCTTCTCAAAGAAAACTCTTCCATGGTTTGACAACACTCTTGATAAGGAATGCTTCCTCATGTGAAGTCTGAACCTGCCTTTATGGATGCAGCTTTCAGCCATTCGCACATGCCTTGGTACTGGGTACTACCTCTCCACTTCACCATCTCAGGAAGCTGCAGACAACAGTGTGGTCACCCCTCAGCCTTCTTCTCTCCTCAGCTGCTTCTCACAGGGCATTACTTCTAGCTCTTCAGCTTCAGTGCCCTCCTCTTGAACACATTTAAGGACCTTCACATCCCTTTTAATTTTGGGGCCCAGAAATGCACAGAGTACTCAAAATGAAGTGGCAGCAGTGCTAAATAGAGTGGGATGATCACTCCTTTTGACCAGCTGGTTGTGCTGTATTTGAAGGTTTGCCACTGCTGACTTTGAGCCTGCTGTCAGCCAGCATCTCCAGACCCATTTCTGTGGTGCTGCTCCCTAGCCACTCCTCTTCAAATTTGTACTTGTGGAAGGCACAGAGTCTGGCATTTGTTCTTGTTCAGTTTCAAGCTATTGATGATCAGCACTCCAATCCATCCATTCCCCTCTGCAAGGCCTCTTGTCCCTTGACAGTCAACAGCACCTCCCACTTTAGCACCATCAGCAAACTTGCTAACAGTGAATTTGACTCCTGCCTCCAGATCACTGAGAAGAACTTTGAACAGAACTAGCCTCGGGATTGAGCCCTGAGGAACACCACTGGTGACCGGTCTCCAGCCAGGTGTAGCCCCATTCCCTATG